ATACTCGTTTACCTAAAAGTAAGAGAGCACCAGCAACGATCGGCTCCAGCAGAGCTACCCTTTGAAAATAGATGAGGGTGTAAGAGAACCACATGGCAGCAGTGAGGTCGTTGAAAATATGCCCGAAAGCATAGGCGATTTTCGTCGAGGTGCTTAATTTCCTCTCCAACAACGGAGACCGCTCCTCCATTGTTTCCATTTTCGTAATGGTTCGATCGATCACCTGCGCACGATTGCAAGACCTTTGGAAGGAGATTTCGTTTTGCTCCTGTTTCAAGTGAATTCGTTGCGATCGCACAAAAAGTTCTCCATCCTACGAACTCACGTTCGGAGAAAGTATATAGTTTAGTTTATTTTCGTCTCGAACGCTCGAACGCAGTATCCATGTAATTGATTACAATCGATACTGCGATTAAATCGAAGGAGACAGCTACGGTAAATAACAATAGAATGTATGACTCAGACTCGTATACTATTACACTATACCTACGATTACCGACATTTTTCGTTTTTCTTTTTTCTACCGATGAAACGTGATAATTTTGCTTATGAGAACCATGAGAACGGACACACCGTGTACAGAGAAATGCGTGGAAACACAATTATCTACAATTATACTTTGTATTACAATTTTGCAATTACATGCTTTCCTCAGAATGTACAATTTTGCTCGTAATTCGAACTCTTCGAATCTTAATTGTTAACGTAATTGTTGCAACGTATCCTTCAAACGGCAAGTTTGAAAACTTCCATCGTCGTACTAAAAGTCACATTCGCTTGCTACTACTTTCGTTCAAGCGTTTGATCTATTTAACCCGGCTTCGCAACAACGCCGCAAGCCACGAGCAGGACGCTCATGAATATCCAAACTCAGCAATATCCGACCGGCGTAAGTGCGGTCTGTCATCGGTAATCGCTCCGACGCAGCAAAAATCGCGGGGTGGGCTTATCTTCGACGTAGGCCAAATATTTTTGAAAAAGTGATTTCGATCACCAGCCTTCCTTTCGCGGATCACTCAGTCGCCGCTCATTTCCACTTAAGGTTCTGCACTTCGAAGGAACGCGCGACGAAAGCTTGTTAGCCGATCGATCGACCGCAAGAAACTCGGATACGTTATCTTTGTCGTAAGGAGCGTCGAGTCGATTGACAAATCGTAGTGGAAATGTTCACAGACATGTCACCGTATCGAATTCCACGGCAGCTACCGGATGAGATCGTATTTGCTTTTCGCGATTATTGCCGCTTTCGTTTTTCTGCAGCGTTATCGATCGTTCAAATCGCGTCGAACTGCCAGCGCGGACGCTGTACGTTGTGGGTAAAATAGTCGAGAGGACCTTGAAAAGATCACGCACTCGTGGATGAGGGATTACTCATGGAAGGAAGCGCGATTTATCGTTACAATTGCGAAACGTAACGTATCAATCTTCGAAACGTGCGATGTCGAGCCGGCATTTCTTGCCTGCATTCTGTTGGCGACCGCGAGCGAAACACGACCGCGACTTTCCGCGACGTAACCACCTGAGCGACTGAACTTTCAAACGCGCGCTGTTTCCCGCTTCACGGGCCGGGATTATCGTTAAATCGACGACGCGACGGCTCGATTACAACGGCACACTACCACTTTCCGATAGCTGTAATCTTATCGGGCAGAAAAAAATCGCTCGCGAGGTCGTTGTAAATGGTAATACTCGATCGCGAATTTAAGCGTGCTGAGATCGAAAAATCGAAAGGCAACTACGAACTATATTATACATACTTCTGTTCCTAAGTAGCGACATTAAAAACAAAAACAAAAAAAAAA